GCACATTAAGTAAGAGTTGTACGTAAAGTCGAACTATATTTTCAGTTTTACATGAAAAATGCAATTGTATTTATAGAAATAGAATATAAGGTTTGTATATCAAATCTAATTATATTTTCATTTGCCCTGCGTAAAATTACACAAGGAAATTCGCTAGTTGGATTTTGGTTCCTTCTTCTTACCCAAATCGTCTAACAACGAGGCATAAGCAGCAGTAAAATGTAATAATTGCGTAAAAACACATAAGCCTCGTTTTTTTCTGCAAAAGGATTATGAATTATTGTAGACATTTAAATGGCAATTTTTTTTCAAAAACTTTTCTCAACGGTAACTAAAAAAATTAATTATCGTTTTAACTTAAATATTTGATTGATGAGATTTGCCCTGGTCCAGAAAAATTATCTCGAGGTACTGGTACCTCGGTACCAAATCCTTTTCATCGTTGGTTCTAGCTGGCAAGGATGAACACAATGTTAAATTCAACGATCAGAAACAATTTGGACACGTGTTGGATCGGAGTTGGATCGGAGCAAATCTATTCATTTGTGTTCTCGGAATAACCGTCGCAAATTCGTTCATCCATTAGCTATAATCATGCCGAAATTCCATTTTTCTTGGAGCCAATCAGCCACGTAGATTTCCATGAAGGCTGCAACGTAATTCAACCAGACAGTGGCTAGCTAGTGTGAGGTAAAGCATGCACTGACCACTGATGTACTCATGTAGAGCTGGGACTTGGGCCGTGCCGGGCTAGCACGGCCCGGTCTGTCGTGCTTCGTGCTAGAACGGGCCGTGCCGGCCCAGCACGGTCTGCTAATCGTGCCGGGCCGTGACAGGCCGAGGTGGAGAAGAGAGAGCCCAAGCACGGCCCAAATACATGTCGGGCCTGTTCGGGCCGTGACGGCCCAAGCACGCCCAGAATTACCTGTGCAAGAGCTGTAATTACTCGGGCCACGCACGCACGTACACTGAACTACTGAAGTCTGAACGGCTGAAGTCTGAGTATCAGTCTGACCACGCACTTAGTTCTGGGCATGCCGCATGCGGCACAGCAACAGGCGAGGCGACCATGCACATCTGCATGGCACTATTCCCTTGAGAAATTAATCACCGCATCTACATGAGTTAAATTCCATTCAAAACAGAAGAGTAAGAAATTAATCACCGCGTCGCCACTCGCACGCACGCGCTCGGCGCTCCTGCGGTCTCCTGATCTCCTCGCGCTCGCGGCGACTTCGGGCTCTCCTGCGCTCCTGACTTTCGGCCATTTATCGTGCTGGGCCAGCCTTGGGCCTTCGGGCATTTTTCGTGCTGGGCTGACCCAGGCACGGCCCAATGGCCGTGCCGTGCCGTGCCGCCCAGCGTGCCTCAACTTACGGCCCAGGCACGGCCCAACTACGGGCCGTGCCGGCCCGGCCCATAGCCGTGCCGTGCTCGGCGTGCTTTCCCTCGTGCTGGGCCATCGTGCCTTGGGCCGGCCCAAGAAAGCACGGCCCAAGTCCCAGCTCTATACTCATGTCGCCTCAAATAATCGATCGATTGCGCCACCATGGATCAACATCACCTAAGACCATATCACCAGACCTAGTAGTAAATTGATAAATTTACCTCTACTGCCCCGCCCCTAAACTTGAAAGTCCAAAAATCATCATTATTCAATCTTCGACTTTTCAAACAGTTAGTTTATAAACCCCTCAACCTGAATTAAACTTTTGTTTAACTACATGCATGGCAGTTCAGTTTCTTTTTAAAAAAAAATAAATTGAAAAGCAGTGAATCACACGTGCCACACAATCTTTCCCCTTCTCCACTTCAATCTTCCCTCCCCTTCTGAAAAATCTCTACAAAATTCCTTCATTTTGGTCTCTTTTGTCACGTAAGAATTTACAGCCAAAAATCGTCAAAAATCATTCGCTCCAAAGGAGATCAAACATAGGGCCTCTTATTTAACGTAGAAGTTCCACTAGACTTTTGCAGGAACCAATTCAATTTTGCGAGGAATCAAGAGCATAACATCTCATTCTGCGATAGGCAACTGGCCAAGTTGAACTATCTATTGGCCAAGTAGTGACTGAAACTGTAGCGGGATTTACGCTGGGCTAGAAGAATTCTGCAAATGGAAAGCCCAAACCGACAGAAGCATAGACCCAAGTGACGAAGACCTCCGATGAGACCCCGATCCAGGCAACGTTGACTTTGACTTGGAATGGACAGTTCAAATTTTGATCAAGAATTCGGTTCTGATTTTATCCAAACCCCCTATCTTGTTCCCTGTGAATCCAATCCATCACCCTTTTTTTTTTTTGTCATGTCGATCCGTTATGTATAGTTTTCTAGCTTAGTTGCACATCAATATCATCATGCACTTTAACTTATCTACTCAGCATAGCATGGTCTTCCCCATCATCAGAACAAATGCTGCTAAAATGCTGTCCTGCCAAATTCCGTTTCCTTCAGCCAATCAGCAAAAAGAAACTCCCAATTCCACAGTGAGTTCCATGAAGGTTATAATGAATTCACAAAATTCAACCAGACAATTCATAGTGCCAAGTAACAATGCAGGCCTACTACAAGTCCACCACTGATATGTCATCCAAAGAATCGATCAAGTGTGTTACCATCAATCAAAATCAGCAAAATCAGAGCTTTACCTCAAGACCGAGCAAAAAATCAAGCGACGTTTTGAACAGCGACACCGACTAATGGCAGGACCGGCCATATCTATGGCTCTCTCTGCTATGCATTACCACTACGGCGACCTGTTAGAACAGTCTTTGGTTTTCAGAAAAGTATGAGATGTGACCAGGTCTCTGGTCTCTGCTCGATCGATCGATCGATCGGTAGTTCCAGTAAAATGTCACTGTCCGATTACCTCAGTATCGTTTTGGGTGGTGTTGAACGCCATAGAATTATGCTAGTAGCTGCTCGCGGTTGGAGTAAGTGAAGTGTCCGGCCCTTTTTTCTAACCTCACCTGCTTGTCCTCTGTGTGTGCAGTGTGTTGTTCTAATTGCTTCTGAGTTTGCAATAGAATTTTATAAGTCATGTCGCTAGGATGGCGACGGTAGATCGATCGATGCCGTGCCGTGACGATTCAGCCGTCAAGATATATCGGTTTTATGCATTGTCCTTGTTCTTTACTACTATTGTGTAGTAATTGATCAAAGAACGAGACCAGTCAGTGCTGAATGGTGCGCAAATGTCACTTGTATGACTAGGATTCTGCTTAGTCTAGTCTAGATTGGTACAGTTATCCTAGAATAAAATGCGTGCGTGTGTCCTCTTAGGTTGAACTGGTAAGCTGCAGAATGTGAAAAAAAGAACTGAAAATTAGCTTGTGAAAACATTGTTGGTCAGTCGTAATTAGCTTGTGAAAATTAGTAACTTTGACGGTGAAAATTAGGCGGTTCAGGTGAAAGTGACGCGAGCCTGGAATGTACTTACTAGCTAGTGTGGCACCACCTATCAGCTCATGAATCACGAAGACATGATGCAAGTGAACAAGAATGACCTTCTTTTCGGCGTCTCCTGATCGAGTCCTGAACTTTTTGTTTCTTCAGTGCATCTCTTGCAGAACATTGATTATTAGATTGGCATGATGAGTTCGTGTTTCTTGCCTAATAAAAGGGTTAAAGCTTAGCGAAAGTGAGCTCAGGACAAAAAAGTTCAGAAGAAGACCAAAAAGTTAAAAGAGGATGTTAGGGGGTGTTTGGAAAGGAGGGACTAAACTTTAGTCCCTCTCCCTAGAGACTTATGGTTTTGAGAGAGGGGTTAAACTTTAGTCCCTGTTCCCAAACACCACCTTAGTCTATGTGAACAAATTAGAATGAGAGAGCCAATCAGTACATGGTTAACGTTTGAGATCACAGCCAATTAATGTAAGGAAGCAAAGCAGTTGTTAATATCTCGGTTTTGTCCTATGACTTTACCATTTTACGATCCCAGTTTACGATTCTATATAGTTAGAATCTACGATTTTAATAACCTTAACGAAATGCAACATCAATTGTGCGTGTGTGTCCATATCAAATTGTGCATGTTTTCCCATGCTCGATCAGTATAATCTAAAGAGAAAGCGGTGATCCGATCTGCATCGAGGGCAGGAATAGTGATAAGAGGGCACGAAACTTTTAGACGGGATATGCTGACTCCAAGCCATTGTCTTTGCTTAAGATCCTTCTGCTTTTCTGCAGCAAATGTTGCCTTCGAGAAAAAAAAAAGTTTTCAATTGCAGTGTACAACTGCTTCACATCCACCTCTACCGAATACTGTCATTGCCTGGCAAGCTAGTATTGGAAAGTGGAGACTAGTCCGTTCTTTTCTCCAATAAAAATTAGATGAAGATTAAGATTTTCGTGACACGCTTTTCAAACTGCTAAACGATGTGTTTCGTGCGAAAACTTTTTATATGAAAGTTGCTCTAAAATATCATCTTGATCTATTTTTCAAGTTTGTAATAATTAAAACTCAATCAATCATACGTTAATACCACCTCGTTTTGCGTAAAAAAAACTTAATCTTCATCTTCATTTTTATTTTTATTTTCAGGAGAAAAGAACACTCTGGTTTCTCAGTTTATATTATAAGACGTTTTGAGTTTATATCAGACTTCTTCGAATTCATATAAATTTATAGAAAAATATAGAATTACTTTACACAAAAAATATACTTAAAATATATTTAATAATGAATTTAATTAAACTAATTTGATTATAGTTGTTACAATATTTTTCTACAAACTTGATCATGCCTTTTTAACTGTAATCTGATGTAAATTTGATCATTACTAGTTCTCTATCAATTTGATCATACTTAAAAATAATTCGACGTAAGACCGACCGAAAATGTGGAACGGAGGGTGTAGGCGTTTACTCATCGTTGGGTCAAAATTTGTGTACGCAGCTTTGAAACTTTACGGCCGTGCAGCAGACTACCAAAGGGAAAAATGGCATCTTTACTCTATTCTAGATGAACCAGGAAGATTCAGGAGTCGCATGCAAGATTTTCATCATCTTGGAGATGGAGCCATAATTTTCTCAGTTAATTCTGGCATGTATTTGTACCACTGCCAAATACGGTCTGTACTCATTTTCAAATGAAGGATGATATCTAAACCTAATTGTATGTGCATCTTAGTATCCACATCTTTGATTGTGTTCTTGACCTAGCTAATTAATCGATCTCTCTGCACACTCAAATGAAGGGTCTCTTCAGCCCCTTGAAATCTGCCGTCTCGATGCACTCGGTGCTGTCTCGCGACGCGTTGAGAAGCCTGAGCAGCTCGCTGGCGCGCTCCTTGGTGACGCCGTCGCAGCCGAGCTGGAGCAGCAGCAGAAGCTTCTGGAACGCGCCGACCTGCAGCGCCTCGGCCTTGCACCCGCCGTCCGCCGGCGAGTTCTTGCACAGCCGCCACAGCGCCGACACGGCGAACTCCGTCGCCATGTCGGACACGTGCATCGTCTTCTTGGCGAGCACCGGCACGGCCAGCGCGTGCGCGTACGCCCTGTCGCGGGCCTTGGCCGCGACGAGGACGGTGTCGAGCACCGCGAGCGCCTTCTCCGTCGTGCCCTTGTCGGCGTCGGCCAGGAGCTCGACGAGGAGCTCCACCGTGCCGAGGTCGACGAGGCGGGAGGCGGCGTGCTCGATGTCGTTCTTGACGAGGTAGTAGGCGGTGACCAGCGCGGCCTTCGTGGCCTGCGGCGAGACCGGCTTCGCGACGAGGTTGACGAGCGCGTCGTACATGGCGTTCGCCTTGGACATTGCCTCGAGGCACTGGTTGTCGCACGACGAGGCGATCTCCCGGAGCACAACGACGGCGCTGACACGCGTGACCTGCTCGCCGTGAGAGAGGATCGAGACGAGGGCGTCCAGCGACGGCGGGGAGGCAATGCAGCGCCTGGACTCCTCGTCGAGCGGGAAGAAGACGACCAGCGCGGCCAAGATCTCCTCGAGGGCGCAGGCGCGCGCCTCCGCCTGCTGGTCGGTGGACGCCGCGGCGAGACGAGAGAACGCGAGCGCGAGCGCGCGCTCGGCGCCGGCGGACGCCAAGCACCGGCGATTCCGCTCGCTCTCCTTCCCGAGCGCCCTAGCCCTGGCCACCATCCTCCCGCACGCCGCCGCGTCCCCTCGCCGCGCCGCCGCGGCGACGCCCTCGAGGATCTCGCGCGCGTCGGCGGCGGAAACGGGCACCCGCGGCGTGGGCACGCGCTCCACCCCGAGGGCCCGGTTCGCGACGCACCACTCCTGGATCATCCTCCGCGTGGCATGGTTCGGCACCAGCTCCTCCGGCCGCAGCGGGCGGCCGGTGACGGGGCACGTCGGCCGCCCGCGCTCCAGCCACACCTCCACCCCGTCCCGGTCGTACGTGATCCCCGTCGGCGCCGTCACGGGGTCCCTCATCATGTCCAGCGAGATCGGGCACAAGAAATGGTCCGGCACGTCTGCGGCTGGCTCAGGCGGCTGCTGCTGCTGCCTCGCCGATCGCCGCACGGCGAGAGGGATCTCCGACACGGCCAGCCGCACGGCGCGGGCGCGGGCGCGGGCGCGAGTCATCGGAGTGACCATTTCGTGCGCCGATTTGACGTGTTGTTATTGTTGTTTTTTCAAGTGCGGCGTGCGCGCGCGGGGGCGAGTGGGATAGTTGGGGTTTGGTCGGCGAGGGGTAAAATGCGGGGATATATAGGTTGCGGCCGGCAAGGTGGAACGGGGAACGTGGGGTTGGAGGGGTGAAGGGGACCGCGGCGGAGGCGGAGCGTACTATTGTTTGTTCATTTTGTTCGTTGGGGGACTGGTTTTGAATGTTGACCGTTGAACGTTTGAATTGTACACGGCGAATGGTATTTGGCTGGGTTTAGTTGGCTTGGGCTACCTAGCTAGCTCAGCTGCTCTTTCTTTACTCCCTCCATCCAATTAAGTACAGTTCAACATTTGACCGTATATCTTATTTAAAAAATTTATAAGAAAATAAAAAGACCATACTTAAAGTATTATTTATGTTTTATCATCTAATAAAAATAAAAGTATTAATCACAAAAACTTTGAAATAAGACGGACATTCAAACATGCACTTAAAATGGGACGCAGGGAGTAATTTGTTTTTGTTTCCGGGTAGTCGTCGTTCGAAATTTTCTTTATTGTTTATGGTTCATGGTGTATGTGATGTTTGCTTCAGCATGGTCTAAATTTGCTGCTCAGAACAAACTACAACTATTTTGTCAAAAATATTAGTTTACTACAACTTTAGATAAATATTTTAACAATTTGTAACAATTGTGTATGATGACTTTATCAAAAACCTAAGGTTCATCAGTTCACAAGTTTTGAGCCCATATATCATACACACATACAATACTTATGTCGGTGTAAGTCAGGCTTACATGTCATACACTTATAGGAGGTAAAGTTGTAGTTTTGTAATAAATCATTTGTGGCAGTAGTTTTTTTTAAACACCCATCTAAAGTTCTAGTAAAGTGATAGCTTTGACAAAATAATTGTAGTTGTATGAAATTTATTCTTTATTCATTCAATACATGTTATCTACCCACCCACCAATACCATCTTCCCACTAATTAATAAGGGGTACTTGTGTGTTTTTTCTCTACTATATTGTTTTCTCTTAGGGTGCTAAAAATGCTTTTATTTTCGAACAGAAAGAATATATGATATTGAGCGATTTACCCAGGAAGATGTGCATATTGATTTCAAATCAAGAATCCATCTACACATGGAGAAAAAAAAGGCAGAATTCTATTGACTCGCTTTTGTTTGGATTTAATTTCTTAATTTTCAAGTAAATTTAGTTTGCTATTAGGATTTGTTTGTTTGACGAGATCCCTCGGGTTAGTTTGGATAGATCAACATGTTAGTCCAGATTTTCCATTTTCAAAAGAAAATTTCATTTTCTTCTCTCATTTCGAAAGGATGCCCAACAAATTATAAACATCAGTACTTTTGCAAACAAGTCCTTAAAATGGTCTGGCAAACATTAGACCCATAGTCTCTAAAGTGTAAATTCAATAGAATAATCCCTTGTTTTCATTCATCCATTTAGCCTACTCCTCTTATATTATTATTATAAGAGATTGTGAATAACAACTATACAATAAATGTTTTTTATGCCTAGAGGATTACCACGTTAATTAATCGGAGAAAAAGATGAAAATATGCACCATTGGATTGTGGCTGGTCCAGATTATGATGGTATATGTAGATTGATTGGTATAGTTTTTGTGTAAACAAACGAGAGTTGTATATAGGGGTAATACATAAAAGTTCCATGTAAAATTCAGTTCTATTTTAAACTATTTCTATGTAAAATTGTGAGGTAAAACCCCGCTAGTTAAAATAAATTAGTGGATTTCAACTTGGTCTATCCTCTTACCAGATATTTACTTTAGATCCCCTTTAGTCCGTAATTTCACTTTAAATTTTATTTTCTTTTTTTGGGGTGTGGGAGGGGGGGGGGGTGTACTTTGACAAGTAGAGGACGACAGGAGGTGACCTTGACGGCACACAGAGCCTGTCCTTGAGAAGAAGGGTAAAAGGGATCCAAAGTGCATGAAAAGTAAGAAAACAGGTTTCAAAGTGAAAAATATGTGCTAAATAAGATTCAACGTGAAACTTTAAAAACAATAAGGGACCAAACTAAAATTCACTCAAAAATTAAAACAAATTTCGCTCAGTAACAACTGACAAGAGTAATAGATACTCGTAAGGTAGCAGATTGAAATTATTAGGGCAAGAGTTCAATCCTTTAGCTCGCTCAAGCAATGACTCCACATCATCAAATCAGAACTTCACTACTTCAAATTATTGACTCTACTACTACCAAGTAATCCACTTCCCCATTTTTTCCCTCATACAATGTATACTAAAGCTATGTTTGTAAGAGCTCGAGATTCTTAAAATTAGCTTGTGAAAGTTTAGAAAGCCGGTTTTGCCATATTTTTACTTAATTTTCTGAATTCTATAACTAAATAGTTTCAAAACCTAAGTGCGACCACAATGTGCCAAAAAGGTAGCCTTAAAGAATAAATATATTCTTAAGGAGTGCCTTATAAATTGTGCAATTTAGCAATAGAAAAAAAATTCTTGTGGTGCACCTCAAGCTTATGGCATTTACAATATATGATACAAAAGTAAACTATAAGTAATATAATATTTCATTTAACTACCTAGTACATTGTGCAATTAGTACACATAAAGAATAACAAAAGATACCATATGCATATGGACTACCATATAAAATAAATAATATTATCTATTTCTACTTCTCCCTCTTCTACTAATGCTACCTTGTATCTATATATATATATATATATATTGTAGGGATTGCTATAGTTAAAGTTTATTTACGTGGGTGAATCATTTTTACTTGTATACATTAGTGATGCCCTTACAACTAGCCATAGGGTGCTGCGTTCGTTCCTGGGGGATTGGGTGAGAAAGCCCATCGTATTTCACGCGCACGCTTCCCAAACTACTAAACGGTGTATTTTTTGTAAAAAATTTCTATAAGAAAGTTGCTTTAAAAAATCATATTAATCCATTTTTGAAATTTAAAATATTTAATACTCAATTAATCATGCACTAATAGCTCATCTCGTTTTGCGTATCTTCTCAATCCTTTCCCTCAAACTCACCCATAGTGAACAACCAAGTTTTTTTTTCTCTCCTTTGCTTTCTCTCTCTCTCCCCACCATATCAAAGAAGTTGGCAGCCAAATCATATTTTTATTTTGTAGTGGGCCCATGTTATAAGGTACTAGTTGGGACTATATATATTGTACATCATACCATGATAAACTAACAAAGGCTAACTATTTTTTATCCCACCTTAAGATGTGTATATACATTATACATTGGCATTGTTCTAAGTATGAATTTTTTAGGTGAACCAAGGATTCTAAGGTAAGTTGTAGCGGTCAAATCTTAATTATAATTTAACATATATAATTATACTAGTTGTAGCGGTCAAAAAAGATTTAAAGCCTCAAACATTATCATTGGTGATGGTAGATTCATCTCTCAGTATTATCATTAAGGATTTTTTAAAGAAGTATAGATATAGATCGGTTCAATTATTAATAATGTACTTCCTCCATTTCAGAATATAATGATTTTTAGGGTTGGATACAAGTATTAAGAAATAGGTGGAATTAAATGGGAGAATGTTGCGATTGGTTGAAAAGTGCAGTTAGGTGAGAAAATTAGATGGCAGAGAGTTGTGATTAGTTAAGTAGATATAATGTTGTTGAAGAAGTTATTATATTTTAGGATAAATCTTGAGAGCTAAATTGTTATATTTTGATACCAATGGAGTACGTGTTTATATAAAGGAATCTTTTCAACACCGTCTAGTGTCATTAGTGCAAAAAGTCAAGTCATTTAACAAGCTCGTTACCGATGGGCATGTGCCGACGCGAGGCGACGACTGGCGGCGACTTTGACGCGCCGCGCGGGTACGTCAGTGTGTGTGAGACTGTTCCGGCTCGACCGACCCGCCAGCTAGCCTCGATCCAAGTCACGAGTCACAGCTAAGCAGTTTGAAGTTTGAACCACACGACGAATATATTCGTTTAATTTCCATTTAATTTATCCGCCACTTTTTAAATTGCAAAAATGAAGAAGCCTAATCATCAAACTCATCTTTCCTTTTTGTCGACAGAAAAAAAAAAAGAAGGCCTAATGATCAAACTGCTTTCTTGTCATCTGGCGATTTGTTTCTTCGTTTTCCGATTTGTTCGGTCCATTTTTCTAAAGTTTTTAGGTGGACTCTCGGACTCGTACGTTGCCACAATAACACGCCATGCATCAAAGTCTGGTGTGTAATGTGATGTGCATCATGCTGCATCGACTCTGAGCTTAATTAGCACGACTAAGGACTCAGGACTCACGAGCTAGTCGCGAGTCTTTGTTAGACCCGTGGCCCGTGGGTTAGCTAGCAGCTACCAGAATATGATTAATCGCAGTAAACTAATTAATGGAGTTATCTAGGTTAGATCTTGGTTAGCTTGCTAGCTAGTCCGGCCAATCGTGAGATCATACCGCAAATTTTGAAAGCAAGCTGAGAGCGACCTTATGTTGTATTAAGGCTTATGATCAACGATATGACGTGGAGTACGTATATACATACACAACGTTAACATGCGCAGAAATTTACAGCTACATAATACACGACTTAGGGGAAAAAAAACAAATATTGGTAACGGAATTGCTATGTGAAGTATATCTGCGGTTGTGGGTTACAAGCTACTTCCTCTGGTCCATTTTAATCAAGTGCAGTTGTGGATTTCAGTGTCTAACGTTTGACCGTCCATCTTATTTAAAAAATATTTTAAAAATAAGCCACACATAAAGTATTATTAATGTTTTATCATCTAATAACAATAAAAATATTAATCATAAAAAATTTTTAAATTAGACGAACGGTCAAACGTTGGACACTGAAACCCACGATTGCATTTAAAATGGGACGGATGGAGTATGTAGTTACATAGTATAACTGATACTCCTATAGTTATATTATAACTAATATCATATAGTACAATATATCTGAATTTTTTTTCACCAAAAAGACTTCCGTATGTTATATAGCTACTCCCCGATCTCTTACGTATGTTGTGTATACTTCCGAACCATTGCTTTGGCACTGACGA